AATAAACACACAGAAAGGGCAGGGAACGAGATGTCTGGAAAACATAAATATAAAAGTCATCACTCATCCAGACGCTATTATCAGCATTAGTGTTGCTCTTGCAAGCAGATGCTTTGGGAGGAACAGTCATTTTGGAAGTTGAGCTACTGCTTTGGGTCGGGATAGGGGAGCAAGAAAGTGCAGAGCAAGGGGGGTGAAAAAAGCAGCTGCTCAGCCGCTCTGCGCCAAGCGCCCGTTCACACGCTCCGCGCGCGGGTCATCGCCGCCGCGCAGGCTGGCTGACGGCATCTGCTAGAGCGCAAGGCGTGCGGAAGCCCCGGGCGCCCGGAGCTGCTCCGTGCAATCCCGTTAGCGCCGCAGCGACCACGCTCACCTCAATAACCGACTTCCTGAGCAGGAGAAGCCGGGAGCGCAGACCTGTGGCCACAGGGCTGCTCTTCTTAGTGCCTCCAGGACGTCGCATGTGACTAACGTGACAACAAAAGCTGAGGCTGCATACGCGTTTCTGGCTAGCAGGGGAGAGGGCTACATACAGACCAAGCGTGATGAGGACATAGGCTTGGCCACTATCTCTAGATCCAGTTTAGAGGAGGTTTTCAGGCCCAGCTCTGTGCACACACTTGTGGCCCTGAAAGGAGGCCAGGCCATAAGGCTGGACCCTGAGCCCCTTATAGGACTCAAGCCAGCAAAGAGTAAAAATGATTTAAAGCAGAGAGAAGCAAAAACGGTATCAAGATTTTCCAGGGAGAGTTGAAATTTGAGCAGCCCAGAACTGCCTTTGGGCCTGACAACCTGCAGAGATGCTAACGCTACTGAACGAGCCCGCAGCCTGAGGGCTGAGGGAGATGCTGCAATTTCAGACCCCTGTGTGCATGGCACGGCAATCACTGCGCGGGTGTATTTACACACTGCCGTGGGTAAGTCACGAATCCAGGAGTGGCAGGATGGGGAAAGTAACCCCATATTATATTTAACCCTGGGTGTGTGCTACAGGGCAGGGTGTGGTGGCCAAGCAGCCGAGGCATCCCGCTGCAGATCCAAAAGTGGGAGGTTGAGCCTTGCCCTGGGCTTACGCCAAGCTTTGCTTGGTTAGTGCAGCTGTAGCTAAATCTGGGGTTGTTCAAGGCAGAGAAGCGATTGTAGCGACTGCCCTCCAATGCATACCATCAGCTCCCCAGACCGGCAGCTCCAGCTGTGCGAGCGGCACGGGCCAGCCAAAGTCAGGCAGAACTTTGATTTTGACCTACTTAGATGCAGGCACTACCATAAAAAGGAAGCACAGAAATATGTGCGTAATAAAACATTGCTGAGAACTTTCCGCTGTTATCACAAATCTTATCTCCCGCTTCTTACTCGTTCATGCACTCTGGTCCTCATTTTTAACTTCCCTGTGTCTTGCTCAGCCTTAGAGATCCCTTTCAGCAATCTCTAGCACTTGCCTTTTAAAGCCTTTGGGAACAGATTTGTGGCTAGATCTGTTCTGAACATTTCCTTAAACATGGTGAACCCAGGATGTTTTTGGCTAGTTCTCACAGGACCATGTGCCCCTGTTCTGTGCATGAGCTACTAGAACAACCCTCCCTGCCCCACCACCTCCAGGAGCTGAAGGTACCTGGTACATGATGGAGGACGGAGGCGGTTCGATGCATGGCTGCTGGTCTGGCAGGGGCAGCTCCTCCAGCAAGTCCACGTTGGACAAGGCATCCTCTAGCGTGACGTGAGTGGTCATGGTTCTGGATGTTCAGTTTCTGCACTAAATCCAAAGGAAAAGAAAGGGTGACAGACAGACAGCAGACAGAAGACTGAGTGGGAAAGCGCCGAAGGACAAAACCAGAACCACAACTGGCTGGCACTGCAGGAGACATGATCCCAGTTTATCTCGTTTCCCTTTTCTTGTGTATTTAACCTACATCTCTATGTCATCTCTCCTTCTGTGATTTAGCAGCAGAATAGGAATGCAGAACAGGAGGAACACAGCTACCCACCCATGCGCTCCTCTGCTCAACTCTATGCAAAACTGCTTATGACAGAGCACGGCTGGGTGCTGCAGTGCAGCTTTAGCAGCCCCGAGTGAAAGCGTGTGCTCCGAAATGCAAAGCGGCACTATCAAAAATATCTCTCGAAACAGCACGATTAGAAAAGTATGACTGATGCTGACACTCACATGCTCTCCTTCTCACACACATGAACGGCACTGGAAACTGTAAACAACAAATTGCATTCTCAAAGGTGAACCGGAAAGGATTGAGTGCTGCGCAGGCAGGCTGTGGCACTGCAAGCAGCAAAAAAAAGGAGTTCCTGTTAAAAAGAATTTCCCTGTTTTTACCACACATGCGGTGTCCGCTGCCCAGTCCCGGCCTGCCATGGAGCCGCCAACGGTGCCACTTGCACATGAAATAAAAAGCAAAGGGAAACGTTTCTGAAAGCTCACTGGCACTTACCCTAATGGGGTCCTCAGGACAAACCTCTACACCCCTTATCTCCTTGGCCATTCACCTTTGCTGTAAGAGCACAAGCATGGAGGGACGGCTGCTGTCACCCAGGCTGAGCGCTTGTATAATCACAGCCACAGGGCTTCCCCAGTTAATACCTAATCCACATGCAATAGCTGTGGCCGACCCAGAGCTTGTGTCTCCTAGAAAAACACCCGGCTGAATTTAAACATTTGCAGAGAGAGAACTCACTTTAAATATTGACATGTCATTCGATTATGAAATCACACCCCCCACAGTGCTTTTTACCCCCACTCAGAGCCTGTCTATCTTCAAATCACAGAATCACAGAACCTTTGGGCTGGAAGGGACCTTTAAAGTCCATCTAGTCCCACCCCCCTGCAGTGAGCAGGGACATCCCCAACCAGAGCCGGGTGCTCAGAGCCCCGTCCAGCCTGACCTGGGATGTTCCCAGGGATGGGGCATCCACCACCTCCCTGGGCAACCTGGGCCAGGGGTTCACCATGCTCATGGTGAAAAATTTCTTCCTTAATATCTAGTCTAAAACTGCCCTCTTTTAGTTTAAAACCATGACCCCTTGTCCTGCTGCAACAGCCCTGATAAAAAGTCTGTCCCCATCTTCCTTACCAGCCCCTCTCAGCCCTGGCAGCTGCAGGAAGTTCTCCCCGGCCCTTTCCCTTCCCCAGGCTGACCTTCCCCCCCCTCCCAGCCTGTCTTCCCAGCAGAGCTGTTCCAGCCCTCTGAGCATTTTTGTGGCCTCCTCTGGCCCCGCTCCAGCAGGTCCGTGTCTCTCCTGTGCCGAGGGCTCCAGAGCTGGACGCAGCACTGCAGGGGGGTCGGAAATGTGAGCCATCGAGTATTATCACTCTAATTTGCAAGACAGTAGAGCTCTCTATCACCAAAGTTCCCATCAAGGTACTCACACATTTCAATAAAACACCCTGCAACCTTCACTTTGGCTCAGGCAAGTGGACTGAGCTCTTTGCCTGCCTCGTTATCTTCCAATCCTTTAATCAGCTCTTTGGCTTTTCTCTAAGCTTGATCCAATTTTGCAACTTTTTTGCTGGAAGTGCAGACACCGTAGCAGGACACCAGGCTCCAGCGATGCCTGCACAAGTGCCAGATACAACAGCAATGTAGGCTCCCTCCTTGTGTACAATCACACCAATTCCTTTGGTCGCAACAGCAGCTCCATAGGCGCTCATATTCAGCCGATTACCTGCTACAAATCCCTTAGGTCCTTTTTTTTTTTTTTGAATGGAGTCACTGTTGCCAAGAATATAAGTTTGCTTTTTATTTCCAGCACTGAGAGCATGGAAGGATAATGGCTTCAGGATGTCCATAGACAGACACACACGCAGCCGGCAAGGACCATGGCCAAGGGGGATGCACGCTGTGTGCAGTCTTGGGGCGGCTTCATGTTGGGTGACAAGAGGGATGAGTCTGCTGCTGTGCCTTTTATCATCACTGCTGCCTGCACGCTGGGCTGCAAGAGTATGTATAAGCCTGGTAAAACCCATTCCATCTCCACAGATGCCTCCCCAAGGTACCAGGCAGCTGAGAAACAGGCTTGGTTATACCTGCAGCTGAAGCACCATGAAATAAGTGCCTGGAGAAAACAAAATCTCAAGCAGTCCTTTCTCTACATGCTCAAATTTCTGTTTCCTTCTTCACCCCTCTTTGCTAAAATGGTTTCCTGTTACAAATTGCAGCAACTGTCAAAACCAGATGTTACGTCCCGGCACGCCGCAGGCAGAAGCTGCTTCCTCCCCGCCCACAAGCACCCTCCGCTGCTCTGCACCAGGCAGGCACCCTGCCCCACAGACCTCCTTGGGTGCCCACTGCCCTCCACCACCACCCTCCAGTGCCTCAAGACTCTCTCTGGGTTCCCAGAACAACACCCCTGGTACTCACACATGCTTCATTACAGACTTCAGGCTTGGGAAGACAAAAACCTTCCATTTTATGGCTTTCAGGGCTGTGGCTGTTTGTTTGGGCTCAGTTCTCATTTTTCTCCAAGTCCAATTTTAAGGCCCTTTGTGCAAGGTGTTCGCTGTTTGCTGTAATCAAGATGCTTCCCCAATAACCCTGTGACACCCAAAAAGCTCAGCAACTCAAGGGACAAAATTATATCTGCTGTTGGGCCATACCAGGAGATACAGTCCCAAATACAGCATCAGGGTCCTGCTGTGCCGGGCAGTGCACAAACCAGCGAGACTAAGCCAGTCTCTGCCCTGAAGATCTTGCACTCAAATAGAGGAAGAGAGGCAGCATGTAGAAATAGATGAACAGAAAAGGAAGCCTCAAGCCATAGTGAGCGAGCAGTGCAATCGGCTCTTGGGCCACCCTGTCCTTTGCCATGGCTGAGCAGAGTGCAAGAACCCGGATGCAGATGGAAAAACTACACAGACTTTGAGGGTTTAACAGATGAGTCTTTACGGGGACTCCCAATTTCTGTTCTACCATTTCGTAAGCCCAACAGCCAAACCAACAGAGGCTACGGGGAAAAGCGTGGTCTGCCAGGACTTCCCCTGGGTCTCATACCCGTAGCACACTGCGACAGGCAGCAACCTCGCAGCCGGAGGGTGTGATGGAGGGGCTACTGGTCCAGGGCCAGCAGACCTGGATCATCACCCCAGATCATCCACAGAGGAGCAGCCTCGAGCAATCCCCCATCTGCCTGTGGTGTGGCCCTTTACCTGCCCCTTGGGGTGGCTATAGGGCTGGTGGGGGCCCTGCTCTTGGCTGGGGTCCACTGCCAGCTGTAAGTATCTAACAGTCAGAGGGGTTGTGCACCGGTGCAAAGGCTGGGGAAGGCTCTGAAGGCATCAGGGATTGCTTGGCCCGGTCCATGGGGCACTGCTTGGTGTCTCCCCACCACGGTGGCTGCGCAGGAGAGATGAAAGGGGAAGTCCCACTGCCACAGACCCACACTGCCCTCCCTCACCTTCCTGCAAAAAAGGTTTCTAACACAAACGTGCTGGGGCTGCCCCAGCAAATCCAGCTTCATCCCCTCGGTCCAGTGACGAGGGGAGCAGCCGCCAGGTAATGAGGCAGCGACCAAGCGGCTCCAGCCCAGGGAAGATGGGGATCCCTGGGGACACTGATCAAGAAGTCCTCATTAAGCCTTAACCGCCATCCACCACCTGGGCCTCAGGGCAGGGGCGGCTGCGCTGGGAAGAGGAGGCAGCCCGTGTTGGTTTTCTGTCGGTGCTTCGGAGCACGTGGCCATGGGGCTGGGGGCCGCAGCGCCCGGGGAGCAGCCGAGCCGCCTGCCCAGGAACGGGGCTTTCCTGCTGCCGTAGCACATGCACAGCGGGGTGAGGCTTTCCCTCGCACACAGGAAGCGTATCCTGCCTGCGTGGACTCAAACACAGCCAGAGCCATCTTGCAAAACTACTTTCTTCTTCATATCTCACTGCTGGTCAGAGAGGCTGAAGTCTCTCCAGTCCTACGTGTTTTGGCAGTTTTGGCAAAACTGAAAGTGAGCCTGGCAGGTGCCAACCCCACCCCAGTGAAACGCTGGAGAGGGATGCAGCCACTGGGCTGATTATCTCTTCTGCTAATGAGCGTTGGTGTTAACGAGTGCAACGCTGCCCACACTTTCTGCCCATCTGCTGCAGAATCTTCCTCTCCCCATCCTGTATCTCAATCGCAATCTCTCTGGCCATCTCCTTCTACAGCCAAATGACCACACTGAGGCACTGGGGCTTCTGGACACTGCTGGGAGCCAGCCACGCGGGGTCCATGCACAGGGCTTGGCCCCACGACCCCAAAGCAGATATTAAGAGTTCCCGACATGGTGACTCTGTTGTGGCAGCATCCTGGGAGCCAAATTTAAGAGACAGCAACAGGAAGGCTTTGAGAAGGAGCAAGGATGGACAGCCCAGATGTCTGAACCTGCAGAGCAGGTCCTACCTTCCCCACCAGACTGCTTGCCCAGAAATATTGGTGCAAAATCATCCTCTTTGCAGCAAAAGGAACAAAGACATCTTTATTGTTAGAGCAGCTTGGGGGAACAAAGGAAGACTTTTAATAGCGGAGCCTTAATGAATATGTTGCACGCACGTGCGCTTGGCTTCGAAGCTGCACAGCTGAGAGCTCTGGGGGAGCGGCACAGGCTGCTTCGGTTTTTCAGCTCACCTGCTCCTACAGCAGACATTCACGCTGGAGCTGCAGTAGCTACCAAGAGCAGGAAAGGAGGCAAGAAAAAATGGGAATTGCCGAGGAGATTGGCAGTTAGACAGGGGCCAAGCCCTGCAAGCCTGGGATGAGA